AACGGGACGCCCGGGGAGGAACTGGGGGCCGCAGGAACCGGACGCCCGGGGAGGAACTGGGGGCAGCAGGAACTGAAGCTGGGTAGGGCCAGGGCCAGGTCCCAGGGCCCCTGGTGCCGAACCCAAGGCCTTGCACTTGATCTGTGGAGCAGTAAAGGCCATTGAAGGTAAGTTTTAAACAGGCGTGTCATGTTAGGGTTAGGCTTTCAGGGTGTTCTGACATCCTGTTTGTGGTGGGTAGATTCAAAAGGATAAGCCTGGAGGCAGGGGCGGTCCGTGCCCTGCTGTGCTGGGCGCCTGCGTCTGTATCGCTTCCATCACCTTCCAGCAGCCCTCCCGGATGCCTTCACTTCCTTTCCACTCTGCTGCTCTGCTGGCTGAGCTCTGGGCTCTCCCATCCAGGTGCCCACTTGACCACTGCCCTAGAGGGCCTCAGGCTCGACAGTCCAACCTCCATCACCTCCCACCCAAACCCACCCTCTCCCAAGACTCGGTGGGCTTGGCTGGGACCCCAGGGACTGTGGGGTTGTCAGTCATTCCTACTGAATACCTGTCATGAGCCATGCTGGGTGGTGGAGTTTAATATTAAAAGGGCAGATTTGGCCCGGTGCAGTGGCTCCCGCCTGTAATCCCAGCACTTTGTTAAGCTGCTTGAGCCTAGGAGTTTGAGAACAGCCTGGGCAACGTAATGAGACCCTACAGAAGAAACAGGATTGCAAATAAAAAAAGAAGAGAAAAAGAGACCCTGTCTCTACAAAGAAAACACAAAACTTTGCTGGCTGCGGTGATGCATACTTGTAGTCCCAGCTACTCTGGAGGGGCTGAGGTGGGAGGATTGCTTGAGCCCAGGAGGGTGAGACTGCAGTGAGCTGTGATTGTGCCACTGCACTCCAGCCCGGGCAACAGAGCCAGACCCTGTCTCAAAAAAAAGAAGAGAAAGGGCTGGTACAGTGGCTCATGCCTGTAATCCCAGCACTTTGGGAAGCCAAGGATGGGCAAATCACCTGACGTCAGGAGTTTGAGACCAGCCTGGTCAACATGGTGAAATACTGATTCTACTAAAAATACAAAAAATAGCTGGGCGCGGTGGCGGGTGCCTATAATCCCAGCTACTCAAGAGGCTGAGGCAGGAGAATTGTTTGAACCCAGGAGGCGGAGGTTGCAGTCAGCTGAGATTGCATCATTGCACTCCAG